GCTTAACACATAGACTAACAATGAACAGCACACAAAGATTAACACAAAGGCACAAAGAGAGCCCCAGGCCTCGTGTCCCCGCAATTGCCCGAGAGCAGTTGCTCGCACTTGCCTGTCTCGAGCCCACCCGGAGTCCTAAGAGACTTTTGCCCCCCGGTCCCCCCGACTATATCTCGATAGATGGACGAGGAGGTTTCTCCTCGTCCACCCTGGGCAGAGCCGTTTCTGACCCTGGGTAGAGTTCCTGTATATGCTACCTACGGTAGCAGAGTTGCGCATTCAGCCTCGGCGCGTGGCCGTAAAGCCGGCTTTCCCGCACGAGATGGATGCTTTGCTCCACACGTGACTAAATTTGGCGAATAGCGGCGCCGCGCGCGCCGCCGCGCATGGAAAACAGGAGAGGAGGAAAAGGAGGCGGAAAGCAGGGAAACATACGCCGGGGCAAGAGAAACGTCGGCGGAGCGACCGTAAAGGTGGCTTTCTTGCACGCCACCGGATGCTTTGCTCCTCACGTGATGGATCTCGGCGAATAGCGGCGTGGCGGCGCGGGGGAAAACAAATGCGCAACTCTGGCTCCCGTAGGGAGCCTATACAGGAACTCTAACCCTGGGGAGCCTGCAGCGCCATCCAGTGGCTAGGAGAGAAAGCGGCACGTCGGGAGCCGAATTCGAGATCCCAATCGACCCCGCGGCGGCACGACCATGTGACTGTGTCTGAGTCGAGGCAACTGCATAGTCGCCTCGCGGCAACGATGCCAGAGTGGGTTGATGGGCGCCCTCGTGAATGCACGGTGCGCCATAAGCTGAACCGATTGCAAACTTGAAGTCAAGCGGCCGAACGCAGAACAGGAAACAAGGCACTAGCAAACGCAGTCTCCAAATGCCAACAAAAGACCCAATAAAGTAAATAGTCCCAAGCACTGCCGCCTCTAGTTGCCCTCTTGTCCACTTTTCATTTTTTACGCTGCTTTTAAATGGCACGTCACGCTTGAAGCTAGCAAAGTGCTGGTGACGTCATCCGGATTTGACACTCAGACCCTACCTTTTGTCTGGAGCTAGAGTTGTTCCGTCAGCGGAGTGTTGTGGCGCCAACACTCGGTACGATCACAATGAACCATTTTCGGAAATCGCCAGTTCAGGGTGTATGAAGATGCGCGAACAAGTTTTGATGCGAGCACAGGCACTCGCTCCGCCAAAGCCAGATCCTGTTGGCTTTATGAGCTGCAGTGACCTACTGGGTGAATCCTGTTGGCTTTATGAGCTGCAGTGACCTACTGGGTGATTCAAAGAGCGGCCAGGCTCTTTAAATCGGATAAATTAAATTCAAACCATACGGCACCCTACGGTTTGAAGATCGGTGGCTTCGCTGCGTTTCCATAGGAGTTAAGCCTTTTTCTTTTTTTACGTTTTCCTCGGGTAAGCTCGCTCTTTGCGAACTTTATAGAAAAAATGCACCACCTGTGGCCACCGATGTACAAAATTGGGAGCGCGATTCTGGAATCTTCTCCCTATGGACCTCAATGCGTCGAGAATGGTTTGAACAAGCGGGGAAGAGGAAGGGGGTTTATAAGCGGTTTTGTGGACACTCTCCTGTGTTTTCCTCTTGACTTTCCTATTTTATGTTATTTCTTTTTTCGTGACGGCCTAAAGGTACAGTCGCTCCTCGCTTTTGACTGGGGGGACAAAGTAGTCGCTCTTGATCTTTAATCAGTGACAGTGGCTGCTGCGGTCTAAGACATTTCGGTGTAAGACTTTACGGTGTAGGACGTTTTGGTGCACGGACATTTCGGTGCACGGATATTTCGGTGTACGCACTTTTCGGTGCGTGGACTTTTCAAAGTACCTACACTTTGGCAGGTATCATTTAAAGGGGTACTACAACGAAATTTCGGCGCTTATTTTTTGGTCTATACGTGTTCAAAGGAGCAGTAACACATCGGACACACCAATATCTCGTTACAAAAGGCACGAGAAAAATGTTAAAACGAATTAAACGATTAGCAAAGAGTACCTTGTGGATGTCGTTAAAGCCTCGTTTGTAATGCCCGTCTAGGAACCTTGACAGGTAGTGAGGGTAACTGTCTCGCCTAGAACTATACATGCTTCGAACCTGACGTCATCCCGACAGCTCTACGGCCAGCTGAAGAGAAGAGGGGAGGGTCCCCACTCAACGGGACTCTCTTTTGTGTGTCCCGGTCGTCGGTATTCTCCCTCTTCAAGATGATAAAAGATTAAACCGTCACTCAAAATTTACACAATTCACACAAAAGGAGCTTAAAGGTCCGTTCACACTCTTGCAACCGAGTACGACCGAGAGAGACCAAACCGGTTTTTAAGCCTCTTGCGATCTCTTAGGACCAGCTCCGCTCAGCGCATCCGGTCCCAAGAAGTCTTTCTCGGTCGTACTCGGTTGCAAGAGTGTGAACGCGCCTTTACGGTTAGTTGCGGTGGCCCGATCTTTGGCGTTCCTCGATCACTTCGATGGCTGGAACGGCTAGGGCATTGTGACGACGTCAGCCTCGTTGCAGCTTCGCTTATCCCGAAACAGGCTACGTCACGATTGCGCCGGATACGACGTGCTCTCCGCTGGCCGCTCTCCGAGCGCTTGTTTTTTTGGGCCGTTTATAACGAAAAATACAGCCATCAGGCTCAAAATACAAACGTGCGATTGTCATTTAGGGATATTGTGGGTCATGTTCAGCCTATTTCTGAACACGACGGGTATATATTAAGGTCTTTGTTATCTTTTGATTGTCTCTTGACGTACGTCGCGTCATTTATTATCATTCTGCTGATATTTACATGTTCATACAGTATTTATTTTCGGTATCGGACTTTCATCATTGCCTCTACAAATAACAATTTCTTTATTTGCTGTCTTTATTAATCGAATGACTACGAAATTATATACGGCTTATTTCTCCCAACTCTACTCGCCACTTTATCCAGTATGTAGGGTGACTTTTCTATGCCATTGTTTTGCAAGTCCCCCGTTATCGTGGCGGGGCATGTTACGATTAAGAAATAAAACATTAAGACAAGGAAACAAAGAGGGACCTATACACACCACCGCCTCAGACGGTGCCGTGTATGTCCCTTTCGTTTTCTTGTCTCAAGCTTTTATTCCTTAATTATGATTGTTCACCAGCTCGCCTGCGTTTTGCCTCTTATTGTGCATATTACGAACTTATTGGGGAATCCGCCATGAGCCAAGCCGGCCGCCAAACTAAAGCACGACAGGTGCCATGTATGCGGGACATTAGTCCCGTTTGTGCCTAAACCATTTCGGCACGTATTACGTTGCATCTCCTGAATTATATCAGAGTAAACTTCAATTGCAGCAGCTAAAACGCTTCTTCAAAGACATAACGATCCCAGTAGAATGTTATTTTCAGAGAACTGACCACAAATAGAGCGCCCTTTTTCCGGCTTTTTGTTCTTACAAATTCTTTAAACCTTGCCAAGTAACTTCGAATGTAATTCAATTACAGAATTTGTACTCTACTCAAGATAGTTCGTGCGGAAAGTAACTTGAATACTACTTGATATACATCTTCATATGGTTATTCAGTATCTTATCTTAAATACTTTTGTTGAGTGTTTGGCACAACACCGATGCCACGTGCTGCATAAAGGACATGCTTTATCTTTGTTGTTGCTTTCCGAAGTATTTATTTTGCTCGCAAGCCAGCCCTTGCATTACGTTTCATTGTACCTTCTTGTTTTGTTTTTGTTTGTATAACATTTTATTTGGACTCCATCTCCTCACCCCCCCCATGAAAAAGGAAAAGGAGCCGCGCACAAGCAGATATTTGCGCCCCTTTCTGGGAAAAAAAAAATAAAATCATGTTTCACACATAATTTTGTTTAGGGCCATGGAATTATGAATCTGCATAAAGGAGACACAGCGATGGTTTTATGTAAGTACAAAATATCACAGCGATGTCTATCTGTAAGTACAAAATATTTCTGTTGGGTGTAAGTTTATTGTTTACATTCTTAGACGTTTTGTATATGTTTCACGGGCTTTGTGTAGACTAGATATTTCTTGCCACGCGAAGCGTAGTATTAACCATTCGGAGCCGGAGGTGATCTGTGCTCTAAACCCCGAAAGCACCCAGTTGTGAACATGGCGCATGATGCATGATTTGTGTCGAATTGAGATATAGACGACGTCCCCGTAACTGAAACTAAATGTAATTGTTTTTTTTCTTTTGTTTGATGTTTTGTTCGTTTGTTTATTTTTTAATTAAATTTATTTAAACAAATTGGACGAAACTACAGCGTCCGACAGGAAAAAATGAAGCGTTTCCTTCTATAACCCCTAACTAATCTACACATCGAAAAAAGTCTGAACTCCGTCTAAATGTGACGCTAGCGATGGTGATTATATGCGGAAGTTTGAGAGATGTTACCTAAATCGAGATATAAAACGAAAGAAAACAAAATTTCAATAAGCCGACGTCTACTTAGGTCTGTAGATGGATTTCGTTGACGCAAGTCACGTACGGTACATGCTATACATGGCTTGCATTGACGTCACATAGGCTGCTATTGTGGTGGCTTTGCTGCTGATCCTGTACTTTTGCGGCATTCTTTTAGCATTACCAAACTCAATCTCCTCAGCGAAAACAATCCCATATATCACTGTCCTTCAGTATGGTGCAGTGACGTCATGCGTGCAAGCCATGTATGGGTAGACACTAATCGTCTGTCAGAACCAGTTACTTCTAAAGATAAACACGGTGAAGGTTCGCCTTCGACACCTCTCCTCCAAGCCTCAGAGAGGCAAATACTGGGGGTCACGAGCGCAGTCAAGTCCTTTGTTGGTCGCAAAACGGCAGTGTTCACCGTTACTCATAGTATGCGGCAGAAAAGTGCACCTGATGATTCAAGCGTAAATGTGGTTTCTTATTAGCACGTTACCCGTCACAGCAAAAACAAAGCTTTCATTTTGTGCGGCATACCATCGGTAACACGTTTTGTGGGTGGCGAATTTTATCGGTGATGGGATACATATGCGTAACCTGGAAGGCCTAAAGACTCCTTCCGTTGATCCTCGTAAAAATCGATGGAAATTTGTTATTTTATATTATTGTAGAGGTGGTATAATTAAAAAGTAATTAAATTACATTACTAGTTACTTTCCTTCAGACTGCGAAAATGTAATTAATTTACTTTACAAATTACTAGACTAAAAGTAAATGACATTGTATTAGAATTACTTTCAGAAGTAATAAAATTACTTCCCGTTACTTTTCAATTCCTACGGGCAGTAATTAGTGCACATTTTATTTACAGCATAAATACCAGAACTCGAATTTTCTTCATAAAAACAAGTCGTGTTATGCCCCAAACGATTTTGCTCCGGTGTAAAAAAATAATTTCTTCTGGGACATCTTCCTATAAAAATGAAGTATACCAACGAAGGTGGAACCATGCACGTTCACTGTGTGTCTTTGCGCCAGTTTTGAACGAGGTATATGTAGGCTCATTTTATCTCACTCAGACCCCAGGTAACAAATTATAATGCACAAAAAGTTAGGGCAACATAGTCGCGCTACACGGAAACACCTTTCTTACAAACGCGCAACAGTGTTGAAGCAGCGCGGATACAACTGTTTGAATGTCCGTTCATATAAAGCTCTGCTGCAGCAGTGTCATGCAGCCATGCAGTGACAGATTTTGACATCTGTCGCCGCAGCAAAATTTTTATGCGGCATAATTGTTTTGTTGACCTCGTATTCGACATTCATCCCCCTTAAAGGGATACTGAAGCGAAACTTGAAATACACCTATTATGGTCAGAAATAGGTTCAATATGATCAATGATATTCATAAATCATAATCGCGCGTTTGTATTTTGAACGGATGGCTATATTTTTCACCCTGATGGGCCCGATTGGGCGCGCGCTCAAAAATCGGCCATCGGAGAGCGCTATGCGTCTTGGGATATTGGGCGCATTCGTGACGTCACTTGTGCCGGTCGGGAAAGGCTACGGCGTGAATGTTGTGGTTACGAGCGTTGCCACTTGGTGGCGCGTCGACGATTTACGACCTGTGACAACGTGGCCGTTTGAGATGTGCAAGGGCTGCACGCACGCTGCACCACGGGACCACGGCAAGTCGGCAACCACGGCAGCACTGACAAAACCAGCTCTGAGGCCGGATTCTCAAAGCGAATTCACGACGAAAAAAGTGCGTACGACAAATTTGAGAGAAAACCCGTGCTCTCGAAACGAAATTTTCGTAACCTTTGAGCAGGTTACGACAGAATCCTACGACAGCTCCGAAGCTGTCTTACGCACTTTTTACGATCAAATCAACAAGGCCGACAGCGTCGCTCAGTTACTTGGTATCGGCCACCAACGGACATTTATTTTTCTTCGTGCTCTTCTCGTGCGTCCCGACTTCAACCAGCAAGAAAAAAGGAAGGAGTACTTAAAACAGACCACGACGATCAAGAACGCAGGATCCACAAACACACGAGAAGAGCTACAACAGCCACGATTCTGCCGACCGAGCGAGCTCGGCAGAATATAGTAGGCCTAGCAGCAACATCGACTCGGCGCACCGTTGCTCCGGCGGTCCTTGGCCAAGACCGTCTGTCCATGACCGGCTGGCCTGCTGAATGGAATATGCCCGCGCGACCCTTGTGGACCCTTACCGGATGAGTAGTTTGATCCCTGAACTAAATTTCAGAGGTCAATATTTTCCCCTTGTCATCTCGATCTCCTTGTTTTCCGAGACAGCGGTGACGAACGCTGTCGTCGAAAAGGGACTCTCATTGATTCTATCTCCTTGTTTTGTGTGATATAGAGCTCAAATAAACGCCATACGGATTACCTTGGCAACTCGGTATGTACACTCTGTTATTAGTATGCCGTTTTTATTCTGACTTGACGCTACGTCAGTGTCGAGCTATAGCAGTTCGTGGGAGCTACGCGATGTCGGTCTAACCTTTCTTTGCCGAGTGTCATGTCAGTATCGAGTTGCAATCGTAAAAGATCGGTCCAGAAGCGCTTACCGAAACGCGGTCTAACAGAGCGAATCCAGCACTTCGATCAAACGCGCGTGTCCGGTCCGAGTGTGAACAGGTATTTGGCATTTGCGTGGCTCTTGCTGACACCCTCGTAGTTCAAGCATATCCTTTTTAACGTCGGCTTGCAGCTCGCGACTCGCAGCAACTAATACTGGCCGTGCCAGAAGCATGCTCGGGTCGTGTCGTGCAAAGAGCCGCAACGAGAACGAGCTCACTGTGGCAACTACGCTTTGGCTTTCTCCGCCAAGGCTTTGCAAACGCGTTCAGGCCTAGGCGAATTCTGCCGGCACGCCGTATTGCCGCAGAACGGCGCTGCTATTTTGGCACAAGTGATGTCACGAGAACTTCCCCCCATCCACCAGATGAGAATTTGAAATCGTTTAATTATGTTTAAAATTAGTTCTCCTGTGTTTTACAGCGCAATATTTATATTTCCGAGGTGGTGCCTGTCCCTAGCCCATATTTATGCAACAAGATCGGCGCTAAAATTTCGTTTCACTATACCCCTTTAAGGTGCTCCGCAACGATGTTGTTCAAGCGTTCTGCGACAGACCCGCTTGGCGGTTTCCCCAGTGTAGCATTTAGGTACATGGGCGTACCAACCGGGAGGGCAAGGGGGGCGCTTGCCCCCCCCCCCCCCCCCCCCCCCCCAGTTCTCAGAGTGGGGGGATGAGCATTGCTGAATTGCTCTGTTATGTCTGAATTTCGTCATCTCCATGTCGTGTTTTCTGGTGGCGCACTTGTTGTCCTTCGGTCTTGTGTTCCGTGTCTACTGTTACTGACTCGTTTTTATTTCAATGTACTAATTACTCGTGCACTGCCTAGTATTATGCTTAAAAATGCATCTTATTTTCTGCGGAGATGTGTATAGTGTTTTTTTTTATCCAGTGTACCAGCACCAAGACCTCAGGGTTGTTCCTGGGCACTGTATAATAAAGATTGATTGATTGATTATTATTATTATTATTATTATAACAACAATCTTGTTTTCAGCTTGCAAGTAGTTTGTGCCAAAACATCATCATCATCATCGTCCCGATGATGATGAATTATCATCATCATCGTCCCCGAAAGCGGTTGTCCCTTTTCGACAGCTCTGCTGATTTGAACCTGTACTCGCTTCCTTTTGAAACATAAGGCGCCAGCAAGCTCTCTGTGACTCAGGAAGTCCCCGGCATCACCGCAAGCACAAGCCTTCGTCAGAATCAGGTGACCTAACTCTTCACTGGCCAGCTCGCACTAAGTAGGCCTAAGCGGCTTCACGGCTTCACCAGACGTCCCTTCTGGAACGCTCGTCCTGCGCGAGCTCGCCTGGAACGACGATCTGCACGGTGAGCGAACAGCTCGCGCCGCCCTGCTCAACGCCTCAGTCCAACTCAAGTGACACGGACGCGCTGTACTGCATACCGACTCCTACGCTTCTACAATGTCCCCTTCACTCCAGTGCGCGCAATGCAAGGAGAAGATTATGAACGACGGTCGGCACATGTCCTGCGCCGACTGTGGAGCATTATACCATCTGGGGAAGCTTTGCTCCGGTATTGCAGACAGTACATTCAAGACCATGGGCGCTGGAAAACGAAAGGCCTGGCGTTGCCGCGTATGCAGACAACAGCAAAGCGGAGATGGGTCTCGTAGTGAGGCAGATTTGTCGCAATGCGCATCTCCTGCCACTACGGAACATTTTCAATCTCTTGAAGCTAGGCTGGAGTGCATTGCTTTACTGAAGGCCAACGTTGACACCCTCCTCGAGTTGCCAACCCAAATGAACCAACTGCTAACGCTGAAGCCGGTAGTCGAGAGCCTGAAATCTGCAGTAACGGAGGTTCAGGAGTCCATCGCCTTTCTCTCGGCTAAGTACGACTCTGTGCTGTCGAC